TTATCCAGCTACTCTGTTGTACATTCAGCACCAGAAATATGTGTAGATCTGATTCCAGCACTACTACATAGTTGCTAGAGCTGCTTTCCTTCTCTGGACTGCATGAGAAGAACTGTGCTAAAAACTACTTGAGGTACAGAACAAGGTGTAGAAAAGCCAGTCTGTGGGGGATCATGGAAATGCCTCACACAAGAGAGGTAACAGAGCCTTTGTTGAGGACTACAGTGTGATCAATGCTGCAGTCAGGCCCAGGCACCACTGTTTGCAGAAGCATGTTTATGAAAGAGAAGAAAGTTCAAGGGATAGTTGTAGGTAAAAGTAAAAGTTCAGTATGTTATGTGGGGTGAGAGATGTTTGAAAGTGTCAGGAAAGAGTAGAATTCACAGTGTAAAGACCACAGAAAGAGGTATTACTTCTGAAGTTCAGAGAACCATAGGATGGTACAACATTATTTTTTATCAGCAATGGACAAGTCTGGGGCAAACACCAGGAAAAAGAGATTAGCTGAGAAAGAGTTTTCTCCAATTTTCAAGCTGGAAAAGAGATCTGACTGTCTAAGTATAACAGAGCATACAACATAGGAGAGGCTCTACAGCTCTTCAGACAGGCAGGTCTGAATGGATCTTGCAGGACTTACCTTTCTGCAGTGACAGAATCACTGAAGGCCAAGGAGTCATCTGACCTTTTCTCTTCCACCCCCATGAACTTGGCAAAGAGGATTTTTGTCTTTGTCAAGAAGTTACACAGTTGGGCTACAGAACAGGCTGAGCATTGCTCATGTGTTACACACACTCTTGGCTGAGCACGTTTGTCACAGTCTCACCTCTGCAGCTGGGCAAGAAACACATATTGTCCAGAGTGGCTGATGCCAACATTTTGTTGTGAATAGTGGATGGAATTGTGAGAGACAGAAAAAAAAAAAGGCAAGTTATGCTGAGAGACTGCATGATAAGAGAGTAGGTTTAGATTGGATATTAGGGAAAAAATCCTCCCCGTGAGGGTGGTGAGGCCCTGGCACAGGTTGCTCAGAGAAGCTGTGGCTGCTCCATCCCTGGAAGTGTCCAAGGCCAGGTTGGGTGGGGCTCTGAGCAACCTGTGATAGTGGGAGGTGTCCTTGCCCATGGCAGGGGGTTGAAATGGGATGTTCTTTAAGGTCCCTTCCAACTCAAACCATTCTGGGATTCTGTGATTTGTATGGAAGAACAATGGTCTAGTCAAAAACACCCCTCTGATTGCATCAGCTCCATGGACTTTGGTGATGCTGCTGGATGACAATACCAAGTTTCACTTTTATTTAATAGTTTTCCCACAAAACAGGGGGGACAGCAATGTTGGCTCACTTCCACATTTTGGGTTTTAACCACAAAGAACTTGTGAGAGCACTTCTAACATTTTTTTTCTTGGAGTGGTGTCATTTCCCCAAGTGCCTGGAGAAGTCTGATGGGTTGTGCAGTCTGTAGGTACTGGACAGGCAGTCCCAAAACAACACTCTCTTCCCAGCTATTTACACAGCATATACCTAAAGATCCACACTGTTAAAATGCAAATTGGGTTTGATAATTTAATACTAAAAAGAGGAGTTGGTTAAGGATCCTAATGACAAAATACTATTTTTTTTTTCACAGAACCAAGGGCAGAGCAGGGAGTTAACACACAGACTCTTTAATACACCACAAGCTCAAGAGACTTCAACACTTGTCTTCCTTTCAGAAGTGGTAAGAGCCATGAAATTTATAATTTCTGTATTCTCTGCTATAACTGTCACAGAGAAATTAGGAGAGATCTGCTCCTGCATGGAATTTTGCTGGAAGTGGGAAAAGTAAGAAAGAACTGCTGATAGAAACGAGAAACATCCCAGAAAGCTGAGTTGAGACAGAGCAAGAAGCCATATCATGATTTTCCTCGCTGTTTTAAAAAATAAGTGCAGGAGAGCAGCGAGACTTCGAGGCATTGAAATTACAGGCAATTAATTGAACAGCTGCAGGTGAGATGTGAGAAAAAAAGTAAAAAGGGTGGAAAGATGGAGCCTGATGCTTGATTAACACCTGGTTGCAGCTGGTTGTCCCTCTCAGCCTGGGAGCTGAGTGGGAACAGTTGTACCTTATTAAAGGTGATTTTCCAGCCAATGAGCCCCTGGGTAATTTAATACAGACAGCTACTCCTGCTCAGAGAACAAATAAAATAGTTGTGTTATTTCTCCTAGAGAGAAATTGAAGTTATTTTTCCACATGTTAGTGTAAGTATAAAGGGCTTTGGTTTTTTTCTTTGTTTGTGTGATTTTGTTTGTTTGTTTGTTTGTTTGCTTTTCCCGAGGCATTGCAAATGATATTTAAATAAACATTGCAGATAAAAAGTCTAGTATCCTTTAGTGGAGTGTTACATTTATCTGCTTGAAGGCTCCTGTACACTCAGAGAACATACCTAAATCTAACTGCAATGCTTTTTGAAGTTTTTCTTTTTAAGATAATGCATCTACTTTTTAAAGATAATGCACCTCTAATAATGTGTCTCTAATATAGGAGACTGCTCTGCTTTTCTGGCATTTATTTTTAAGGAGTAAACCTTTTAAAACAGACATAATTAAAAGCAATATCTTCTCTATTTTTTTTTCTGAGCTTCTTACTGTTGTTATTTTTTTAGAATGTTTTTGTGGATAAGGACATTTTTATTAAGATAAATGTTACCACTTGCAGAAACAACAATAGAAAAATAATCTTGGGTATCTTGCCTCTGCATATATAAAACCAAGTTGCTGCCATGCAGACAGCTTGTAATAAACCAATTTAAGTAGAACACTGAGTATTTATGTCTATATTGCAATCTAGATTAATAAATACTTACATACAATTTTATTCCTTGCTTCACAAGATTATACAAGTGGCAATTCTTGTGTTATATGGCAGTGAATCATGTTGCTGTTTTTGGGAAAGGAATTAGTTTTTCTGTCTTAAAGAAAAGCAGAGATCTAACTTCTTGGGGAAGGGGAGGTTTCTTTGTTTCATTTCTTGATGCAGAGTTTGAGTAAAAAGACCCAGTTCAATGAAATCTATATCCTTGTGGAGGCAAGCTGGTGTTTGTACTGTGCAGGGACAAGGGGTCTCGTGTTCTCCCTCTGCAGAAAACCACATTAGTCCCTCTCACACTCACACACCTCCCCATGAGCTTTAGTTATAAAGCTGGAGGTTAATCTTCCTCTGCCTGTAACAGAAGGCTGGGCTGTGATGGTGCTGCTCTGGCAGGCTGGCTATGAGTAAAACTCTATCTTGGACTCTCTGAGCGTGGTTTTTGTTGGTTATGGAGGTGATGCAGTTAACATACACTGAACTTTTCACTGCTTCCCCGATTCTTACTTTAAAAGGAGTGTTGTGTTTTGTTTTCTGTGGTTTTTTTTTGTTTGCTTGTGTTTTTTGTTCTTAAACATTATATACAGTCTTGTGGAAAAGCAATATTTTCAGAGCTGAGGAGCTGAAAATATTAGAGTGGGAGATAACAGGTATTTAGCTGCAACACTGGGTGCAATATATCACTTAAAATCTGATTCTTGGGAGCTTCAGCTAGCTTCATTTGGGATGTTATTATTATTTCACAGCATCTCAATGTCACAGGTAAATTTCAATAGTATTGCTTGTTTTCCTTTTGTTTCTTTCCAATGACAAAGGTTTGGTTAAGAGCTCTGTTCCAGGCCAGTTGGGTTACACTGTTTGGTGGATGGCCTTTCTCAGTGCTGGTGTTTCAGGATGGGGTTTTGGGGGGGGGGGGAATAAGAAACTCTGGGTGAATTTTGCAGTGGGACAGTGTCCAGTGAAAGCTCCCACATGCTCAGTTCAGGGAAGATGGTTGTAATTCTCCAGGGTAGACATGGAAACCTCACTTGAAACGTGGTAGTGCACCTATTTATATAAAAACCATGGTCATACATTGATGAGGACATCTAAAGACGAGCAGAACCAGATGGAAATCAAAGTTCATTACCTACAGTGCTGATTGATATAAATATTAAACAGCTGTTGACAGCAAATATGAAATTATAACTGTTGCTCTAAAATTAATTCCCAGCAAATCTAGTGTCTGAAGTAGTGAAAATCTGATTGTTAGTCTGTTTGTGTGGGGTTTTTTTGTGGGAAAGTGGTTATGTTTTTCCCTATGTAACACTTCTCATTCTAGTACCAAATTTTTAATTCAAGAAATCATAAAGCTGTATCTTTCCAATTTTGTGTGTGGTAATCCATTGGATACAACATTCATGTTCTCCTTGGGACGTCTTTAAAAGCTCAAGTCCAGGAACACCCAGTTTTAACTTTCAGTCACCTGAAAAATGCAGCTCCCATGCCTTGGTCTCACACATACTTATAGCAAATACCTTTTTAAATGTTGCCTGGGGGAATAGATAATAAAAATACAAATAAGATGAAGTGGCTCTTCAGGGTATGCTTTTTGGGTAATTCCCTGTGGGGTAGCATTGATAGCTGTAGATGTGGCTAATTAGTAGAAGAAACACTGGGTTTTGATTTTTTTTTTTCTTTTTTTTGTTTCTTGTAGGTTCACAGAAAGGGTGAAAATCTTATTGGTCTCACTTTTCCTGCCTCCCAACAGCCCCCCCCAATACTCAGTTTGGGATAAATTGGTCTGAGTAACATTACTTGGTGCTTCCTTTAATCCAAAGAGTTAGCTGCTAAGTTGCAGGGAGCTCTTTAGTTTAAATTTTCATTCTCTGCTCCCATAATTATGGTATTTAAGAATAAGCAGTGAGATTTCAGAAAGTATTTCTGCCTCTATTCCAAGTTTTCCAAATCCACATCCACTTCTAGTTCTCTGGATGACTAAACATGGTGACCGAAGGTTTCTGTCACAGCTGAATTTTCAAACCACTTGATAACAAAGCTGCAGTTTGTTGCTGAATGGATAAACTGGCACAAAGAACACGTATATGTTGATTATCCTGACTCTTCTCTCTTGTCCCTATTCTTTTCCAGATACTTTGCAAGAGAAGGGAATTGATAATGGCTTCAGAACAGGGGGCTAAGAAGCGGCACCACAACCCAGTGGACAGCATATGCAGGAAGATCAAGTCCATCCAGATGATGGACCAAGTCTCTAACCCTACTTTGCAGATCCCAAAGTTTCAGTCCAGGAACTTCGACAGTCCACAGTGCAACGTCAAAAAAAATCTGGAAGAAATCCTGAAAGGCAGGACTTTCAGAAGTCATGACAGTGCCAGTCCAGCTTCAATCAGTCCCGGCAATGACGATGTTTTCTATTCAGACTTGTCCCCTTGTCTTGCACCTGTCTCTGACTCCTCTGATAAAGATGTCACCTTTACAGTCATTAAAAGGAATGAGAGCTCCAGCAACCCCTGGGTGCCAGGATGTCCCATGGAGAACCGTTCTCCATGCTGTTTTGGATCCCAGGAGGCCAATACTCAGAACAGACCGTTTGCTTTATCGAAGGCTGTATCTAAAGATGTGCGTCGTAAACAGACCTACCTCACATCAACTCCAAGTTTCTATGTCTTCAAGTCTGATAAAAAGCCAAACAGTGCTGTGATCCAACCTCCTGTGCCAAAGGCATTTCCTTCGAGTGAAAGAGGTAAAAATCCTGGAAAAAAAACCCAAAACACCTCAAACCTCCCAATTCAAAATCCTAGGCATCTGAACATTCAGCCTACATAGATGACATTTATTTACTATTTAAACTGGTAACAATACATTTTAGTGTCACTTAAATCTAATAAGATCACAAGTAGAGCTGAATAAAGTCTTAAATTTTCTCTAAAAAAATATTAATGTGAATGTAAAAAAGTGAGGAAGTAATAAGTCAAACTTTTTTCCAAATATCCTAATTAATTTTCATGGTTAAGAGATTTGGCTACTAATGTAGACTGCCTTTAGAATAAAAAGATACATGAGTTTGGGTGTTGCTCTTAGTTTGGAGGGTTTGTATTTATTTAATTTTATAGGGATTGTTTCATTAATAAATTAATTTGACTATAATGATTTCCCTACAATATATCTGGAGTGGGAGGGAAGAAAATGCATGTGTAGAACTAGATGCATAAACCTGTTCCCAAAACAGAGGATCGTGGTGTTATTTGTCAGTAAAAGCTCTGTTTTCATTGGGGGAAGAGGAGGAGGGGACTGGTTTTGTTTTAATCATCTGAAAAAATATCAAAATTTAAGATGATGTAATTCAAGCAGTGGTATTTCGTGTGTGATGTTGCTCTAACAAACATAATATTGTAGTTAGAAGCTGTGGTTCATGAAAACAAATAAAGATGGGCAATAACAGACTGGTTTTTCATAGGAGGGAGGCAGAGACTGGAGTTCAAAGCCAACGATGTGAGCTTGATCTCTGAGGAAGACCTACTGACCACAATCTTCTGGGCATGTGACATAGAACATACAGGTTTGCCAGGGGCTTTTCATTGCTCTGTTTTGTTCTCTCGGATTTTCAAGTTTCAGATCCTGTTGTGGCCCCTGAAACACGCCAGTCCCTGCTGTGCTGAGACTCCCTTAGTGAAGTGCCTATGAGTGGCAGATGCAGAATAAATCCATAAATGTTTGTGCCTCTTCTGCACAGTGCCTGACTCCTTCCCTGCTGATCTTTGCAGGATTTTAGTGCAGGGGAAGTAGAGGTCCAACATTCTGCTAGCACATGCCCTTATTGAAAAGGACTGTTTCTTTCTTTTAGCATTTTTCCTGCTAGAAAAGAAGAACTTTCAGGAACTTCAGAGCAAGAGAGAATTCCTTCCAGTTGCACCTAAACATGTCTAAAAGGGGGAGTATCATAGAATATAGTATGGCTTGGGTTGGAAGGGACCTTAAAGATCATCCAGTTCCAACCCTCTGCCATGGGCAGGGACACCTTCCACTGTCCCAGGTTGCTCAGAGCCCCATCCAACCTGGCCTTGAGAGTAAGGAGCAGTAAATAGAGAAAGGAGTAGTCTGGCAGAATAATATAATGGCAGTCACAGGGCTTGATAAGAGACCCGAAAGCAACAGCACAGAAAATGTGTCAACTCTTGTTCCTCTTAAACTGAAGGCCACAAAACTGGTAAACTTGATTCTCACACTTCTGTATTAGAAAAAAAACCTAAACAAACACCCACCACTAATGAAAGAAAAAACCCCGAACAAACACACACACAAACCAAAAAAAAACCCAAACAAACAACCAAAAGCCCTAAACTCTTTTTTTCCAGGTCACAGCACAACTGCAGGGATCAGTCACCTGCCTACAGCTCTTGAGGGCAGTTGGATCCAGTGCACTTCAGTAGCATGGCCTTGTACAGTTTTTTCTATAATGAATCTGGCACTTGACATCTGTTTCTGTTTTAGGAAAAGTGGCAGTTTCCAAGATAGTCGATTATTTGAGGCACACAACTAGTCGGGGATCGGAAGATAGTGGTCTTGAAGAGCTGTGCAATATGCTGGACCCAGATCAGAAGGATGTCTCCATGGACCTGGAAACGTATCGTGCGGTCATGGGAGAGTGGATCGAAGACCGCAAGAGAAAATGGTAATGGCTTTTTAATAAATCTACCTCACAAGTCTCCTGTGAAAACAGGAGAGTATAAAGTTCCTCTGTGGCTTCTGGAAAGAAGATGGTATTGGGACACACTGTCCACAACGTGGGATTTGGCTGAAATTTGATAGGTGTTACAAAGCTGGTAAGGAATCCAATGTCACGCTGATTTTGATACTTCTTTGTTGCAGGGAAGATAGTGCCACTGAGGAATCATCAGCAAGCATGGAAGACCTGGAATTGCAAGCACCTAAAATCATCCCTGAAGGTGCAGACTGTTTTATTCTGTTTCTGTTCAGGGAAAACTCCCCTTTCTTGCTCTATAACCAAAATTCCCACCTCTTTCAGCCAAAAAGACACATGTCCAGATGAATGTTACATCAGGAAGCCTGGAGGCCTTTGGGGGTGATGTGTCTAGAGGAGATATGTAAGTTCATTTAAACAATTCTTTCTCAGAATGTAGTACTCCTGGCTTTGAATGACTAGACAGAAATTCCTGGAACCACTGTTCCCAAGCACTGTGCTGGTAGAGCTTCTAATGCTGACCTCAGTCTGCAGTGGCTCTTGGTGCTGTCACCTTCTTCCTCACAGCTTCTACTCAGATTTGAAAACACACTGATGGATTTTCCTACTGATATCTTGGTGCTTCTCTGTCCATTTGCCTTTTCAATTCCCTGTGGGCAGAGATTTGCCATGTGTTTCCCTGTTTAAACTGATTCCTTCCCTCCACCAAATTCTTAGGTGTGCAACAATAAGAAGACATTACGTCCTCAAAATCTGGTCCTTTGGTTTTGTTTGGGGTTGTTTTTCTTGTGGTAGGGAGTTTGTTGGTTTTTTTTGGTAGTTACACCTGTTAACAAGTGTCAGAAGTTTCACTTGCAGTTTATGCATAGTCTGAAATCCAAGTTCTACTTTCTGATGCTTCCCTGTAATTTCTCAGGATCTCAGAAGGGTAATCCTCATTCAAGTTTTGGTTGAGAGCATAAGTGGGGAATGGCTTAGAAGAAAAGAAAGGATCCAATACAAAAGTATTTGTAGTGACCTAAGAGGTGATTAGTAAAAGCTTAAGACACTCTAAAATAGATATCCAGATGTGGCACTTGTCTGGTGGCATATTTCAGTTGCAGGCAGCATAAAAAAAAGTGCTTAAAACCAAAAGAGTTCTTGGTGTCTATAAAATTGGAGAACTGACCTGAAGATATTCTGCCATCTCCATGCAAAGCAAATGATTGGACAGTGCAGCACTGCAAGTCCTCTGTGGGCTCTCCTCTCCCCTCTGATCAGTGCAGCACAGCATCAGGATTTTTAAAAAGCATAAATTGGATCAAATCACCTTTCTCAATCTTTCCTGGCTTTGTTGCTGGAACAGGGAGACCTCTGACCTGATAAGCTCTGTTGCTGACCTGCAGTACAAAATCAAGAACCTTCAGGAAGAGCACAACAAGGTGAAGCTCTCATTGGAAGCTGCGGATGAGACCAACAACAAGCTGCTGGCAGATAATGAGCGTTTACATCAACAAATTAAAAGGTGGGAGACCCTGAGGGCACCAGGTCTAAGCTGTGATGGCCGTGGGCAGGGCTATGTTCTTCCAAGTGGTCCAGCCTTGCTTTAATGCTTTTCTCCTCCCCAGTGCTCCATGACAGCAATTTTCTTGACTTTCTGTAGTATCTGTGGGGTTTAACCCTCTTGCCTGGTTGTTCTGCCCTGTTCTTCCTTATATGTACACCTCCTTTCATTGATATAATATCAGTCATTCATCTCAGAGCCTGGGTCTTGCATGGTGAGGGTGCACCCAGGCAAAATCTTGGGGTAAAGCAAACTAAAACAAGCAAAACAACAACAACAAAAAGGCTTAATATTACCAAGAGAACAGCTAAACACTGGAAGGCTTCCAATCCTAGATCACATACTCATTGCCAAGCAGAGGGAAAATGAGTGTGTGAGAGCTATTTTGCTACTCCTTTGAGGAACTGAGGTGAGTTGTCTCCCTTGTTTAGTATTTCTGTAGCCTGGGGACATAGCAGTGGCACGAGTACAAGCCTTTTCCATAGCGCTTCTCTGACCTAATTAATTAAAATACGATAGTTTGGTCGGCTGCCAAACCATTCCCAGTACTTTCTAGGGAGATTAAGGCAAGAATCTTGCAGGGTTGCTGGCATGGGACACATGCCCTGATGGTGGACCACCTGCTCTGGGATGCTCTGCATGATACAGCCAGCCTGGAAAAGGGCTGTATAAATATACATGGTTTTGGGGTATAAAAAAATGATGCAGAGCCTATCCTGGAAAAGTTGACTGAAATGGTTCTTGCAGCTGCTAACTATGAAGTATTAATACTTGTAGGATTAATAACTCATCATAAGGATGAGTTTATGTGCTCAGGTAGCACGATATATTCAACTGTAACAAGCTAAATTGTTAGCGTGCCTTTGTCTACATTCACCTGTTTTGGATGCTGTGTTTGCCTTGGGTTTCATCCCTTGCTGGGATGCAGAAGGAGGTGATAAACTGTGGGTGAGTCCATGAACTTGCTGGACAAAAAGGCTTAGACTTGGTAGTTGCTGACCTGTTAAGTGTCTGCGCCAAAAAATAAGTTTCTGGAGGCTTCTGAAAATACTGTATTTCAAGCCTATCTAATGTCCAACATTAACTGGCTGAATTTCTCTGGATTTACCTCCCCCTGTGCAGCATCCAGCACTATGTGTTGAAAGCCAAATCACTGGAAGAAGAACTGGAAGAAGTAAGGAACAATCTGAACCTGTCAGAAGAGAAGAGAGAGCAGGCTCTCTGGCAGAACAAACAACTAGTAGGTGCTCTTATTTCCTGGCTTACCTTGTCCAGCACCTCACACCTTGCTGTGACAGTGGCATGTCCCCTCAGGCTGTTAAAATCAGCACAATGGCTTTTCTCTGTGCCAGTGGGTGCAGAGGCCTTTTAAGGGTGTTTGAAATGTGATTTATTAGCGTTTATGGACATTTCTTTACACTTTTTTCAGTTACAATGAAGAAAATTATTAAAAGGACCTGTCTTACATACAATTATGCTTAAAGGCAGCAACTCTTTTGCTACCATCACTGAGCAACTTCTGTTTTGCAGTTCTTGAATCAGCAGGGACAGGAGACTCAGTTCAGGTGTCCAAAAAAAAAAGAGGAATTTTCCAAAGCACCCCTAGGTTATTGTCAATGTCCATAGGGACTGGAAAATATGACAAGTGTTCCATGCCCAGCAGGAACGTGAGGATTTTTGGGGTTATCCTGCTGTAGTGTGTATATATGTTTTGGTTTTGCTTTAATTTGAGATTTCATGCATAATTTACCTTGTGAGAAAGAGGTGTGGAGTGGGAGAGAAAGATATTACTGGAATTTTGTAGTTGTGCAAAGGGGTGAAACAGCACAGCTTCATCTTGGGCTCTGGATGTGTTTGTGGTCAGCTGCTTTTTGTCTTAGTTTGGCTTTGACTGTTGAACTTGACACAACTCTTGTTTTTCTCTTTTTCTGTTATTGTCTTGTTGTTTTTTTGGTTGTTTTCTTTTTGTTGTTGTTGTTTTGTTTTGTTTTTTGTTGTTTTTTTTTTTTTTAAATAAACCTGATCAGGAAAAAGAGAATCAGTCTCTCAACATCCAAGTTACTTCTCTCCAGGAAGAGGTAAAAAAATAAATCATGGTTTTACATGGTCTTGCCTGGCTAAAAGTTTGCCATTAAGAAATAAAATGTTTAAAGCCTGGCATGCTAAGTAGGTTATAAAAATATCCAACGTTTTACAAGAATGACTTGTCATAAAACCTCATATCTTGAAGTTGCACCGTGCTTCAGATTTTCCATTTTATGGGTAAGTAAGGATATAAGGTTAGGGAAACATGGGGGTGGGGAGAAGCAGCTTTCCCCAGTTCCCTTTTTTTTCAAAGCTTTATAGGCAATTCCATATATTTCTAGTTAATGCAGTTAAATACATTGAAACAATCTCTATCCAGAACCTTCTAATTTCATATTCACTTCTGTTTCCCTCCTTTAAGCCCTGTATGGAGCTGTAACATCAAAAATATACAGTGGCTGGGGGTCTCCATTCACAGATGGATCCATTGACACTGGCCAAGGACCTACAGGAGACTTGTAGGGAATATGCTGCTAATGGAGCTGCATCTTTAGGCTTGGATTTTGTCCGTTTTTCAGAGGAGAGCTGTTCATTCTTACTTTATTTACTTCAATAAAGCAAATATTTTATAAACCAGTTTAAACTGTTTTAACACCTGCTCACAGCCTGTATTTCAGACTATTCAGCATGAAACATAGAGGTTAAATACTGCATAATAATGAAAAGCACCTCCAGATTAATCTTTCTGAAAAGCTCCTAAGTCCAAATAGCTGTTAAACAGCATCTTTCCAAAAATAGTTGCTGCAGGCCTGAAAGTTTTTCTTTAGTTTTTCTAGGCCTGCTAATGCTTATAAATACCATTTTGGGGTTTTCTCTTTCACCTGTGCTCTGGAGAAATAGGGGAAAAGGATCAGGGGCAGTTTTGGTGGGGCAAGCACATACAATGTATGTGTATAAATGCTGGTGGTGCCTGAGAGTAGGCAGCAGCTTGGGGGTGGAGATGTCATTTTTTTGCCTGGATTCTTCAAGGAGAAGCTGTCAATCCATTCAGCTGTGCCTAAACACTCTGCATCTTGCTTAGAATATTAGGAGTAGCATGGACACTGACGGACTACAAAAGAAGATTTTGGAGCTGTCTAAAAATGCAGCAGAACTTCAAGTAAGCATTTCAACTCTAAGAGGAATAAAAAGACATGAAATAGTTTACTTGGGTCTGGTTGAGGGGGATATTTCTACTTCTGGAAGGCAGACAGCCCTGAAGCTGTCTATATTAAGGGACTGTAGTGCAATCATAGCTTGGACAGTGTGACAGCTTTGACTGAGAAAGTTGCTGTCTGGAGGCCAAAAACTGTTTAATTTGTTCCTCTAAGTTAAACTTTTAGGAAACCTTTCCCCCACTATTTGAGGCAATTTATTAGTCATGCTTTGGGTGATGTTGCTAGAAGTCTTGGTCAGGAGAGATGAGGAGAAACAAAGGTGGCTGTGAAAGCTGAGAACACTTTCACTCTTCACTGGGTACAAGATTTGTGCTTTCAGAAACATCACACAAAGTATTCCAAGAATAATTTGATGTTTCTAAGCTATGAAGGTTGATAGCCTTTTTCCCTTCCAAGAAGGAAATAGGAAGAGAGTTGTGTTGTAAACCATGCTGATGACTGGAATTACTTCTGATCTTTTCATTCTTTAGATCCAAGTAAATCTCTGTGAGAGCACTGTGGTGAATAAAGAGGCAAGCTTGATCAAGGTTCGTACCTTTTACTTTGTTACTGTCTTGACTGAAAATCACAGAATCCCAGAACGGTTTGAGTTGGAAGGACCTGGAAGATCATCTCATTCCAACCCCCTGCCGTGGACAGGGAACATTCCACTAGGCCAGGTTGCTGTTCTGTGCTGACCATGGGATGATCTGTAAAAAGGCAAGGCAATAGTATTCACTGTGGCACTTTTATTTCTACTCTTCTCACACTGCAGAACCTGATCCTATAAATGGCTTCAAAGTAGGCGAGCTTTGCTTTAGGACCTGGTTATGAGCCAGCATAATTAAAGGTTTCAGCATTTTGCTTTTATTAAAAAAAAAAAAAGAAAAAGGCAAAAAAATAATCACAACCTATTTAAACAAACTTGCAAACTTCAGAAAAAAAGGTACAGAAACTTCTAAAGGCTGCTTCCTTCAACAGTTGCTGAAAGAACGTACCTGCAGAAGATCCTTTCCTTCATGTCTCTTACTGAAACTGAATTTTTGTGTCAAACTAGAAATGATGACTTGGAGCCCAGTGTAAAAGCAAATTTGTCCTTTCATTACTAAGGTGTAACTCTCTAGGCTTTGCTGAAGAGTGAGCATTTCTGAGGTCTTTAAATTTGTATTTTGCATTGGGAAAAAAAAAAGACATAAGACTACACAAAGGTGTTGGCATTCTTTGGATTAATGAATTATGCAAATTGCCTTCTAGGCCAAGGTAGTTTCTATTTAGCAGAACATGTTTTAAATCACCTGATAAAATTTCTAAGTCCTATCTGCAGAAGTGAGTGCAGCTGAATTCAAATAGTAAAAAAGTGATGCAGCTGATAATGTTGTAGTTGAGTGTTTTAATAATTTTTGTTTGGTTGATTATTTATTTCCCCCCCCAGAAGTAGCTTGAGGGCAAAAATTTAATAAATTCTTTTTTAAAAAGTAGCTTTCTCTTTCTCCTCCTTGAACGATTCAGAGCTTTTGTGAGCTCTGTAGTATCATTTTATTTTAGGAAGTCTCTCTTAGTCTATTGACTAAATGGGAATTTTGAAAGTAGACTGCCAGATTGCATGTTGATGAATATGACTGTTTTGTATAATTTTGAAGAAACTGGTGTGGAAAACTGACTTTGCTTGTTATCATTATGATCTGTGGGATAAGGGTTTACCTGTAAGCAAAAAAAAAATCCTTCTCATGGCCCTCTATCTGAGGGTAGATTGGATAGGATTGATGGTCATTAAAAATTATTGTGGCAACCTTTCTCTTCCAGGCCTGTAAAAGGATGTGAAGATAGAAAAACACTTTTTTCCTGTTTTTTTTTTTAATGTTAATAACACTTTAGCACTTTCATCACTTTTCTCTGCCAAGACTGAAGGCCTGATTCTATAAGGTGATGTTCAATCTACAGAGTGCTACACTCATGAGAAATAATGAGAGTTAACTCAGAACATTGCAACTTGTTTTAAAAGTCAGCTGGGATTTAAACTCGTGCCAGGTATAATCTAGTCCTTGTTTTCAGCTAAAACTAGGGTGCTTCTGTCTAAGTTTAATCTGCTGATGCTGAAACTAGGTGAGGAATAAATTAAAGTACAGCACCTGGAAAGAGTGTTTGTCTCAATTTCAGAAGTTAGGTAGAAAAGGTCATCTGAGTGCTTTCTGTTAGTTAATATGCTAAGTATTCTGTTAATATGACTGTATTTTCCTAAATGTGCAACTATTTTTGTGTTATATAATTAGGTTGCTGCTCAAACCTAAATCATACAGATTACTACTGGGATGTAGAATTGAATATAGTAGTTTTTATTTTGGTTCTTTTTCTCTCTGATCTCTGCAGAAGGAGCAGGACATCCAGGAACTGAAGTTAAACATTGTGGAGTGTTCCTCAATAATAGAGGTATGGAACTGGGTTTAGTTTTTGCCTGTGTGAGGGGAAAGCTTGGATATCCTGTGTTTATTCTGCCTGGCAAACTGACCCTCTAACCAAATCTTATTTGGTGTGTTTTAGACATTGAGGGCAGAAAAAAATAAGCTACTGGAGAACATGCAACACATGCAGCAAGAGCTGATCTCGTGAGTATTGTGAACAAGCCCCAGGAAATGCAATCTGTCAAAAGTCAGGAAGGACTGATACGTAGTTTTCTCCTTCTTTCTTTAGAAATGGGTTGTGTTTCCCCTTGCTGTGCAAATACAACAGTAGCATTCCTGAAGGGATGAATTCGCTGCACTGTGAGCTGGAACTTGCCCAGTCTTCAGAGGTATGAATTAAGGCTTTAATGAATCCCTTCCCAGTTGTCTTGCATCAGCAGAGGCAGAACAAAGCTCATTCCCTGCGGATGATTGAGATAACCTTGGAATTTGAAGCCGTTAATCCCAGCACGCAGGCAGAGAATGTGAAGGTTACAATATTGTCCCGAGAGCGCTGGAGAAAGTCCAAAGGAAAGCAAACAAAACACTTGTAGATCTAAGGAAGTAAATCTGGAAGGGCAGAAGAACAGGCTGATAGGAGAAGAAAAAAGTATTCAAATACATTTAGATACATTTAATATCAGTATTGCTCAGTTGAGCCAGTTGGTTTGAAGTTGCAGGGTACCCAGAAGGTGGTTTAGTGACTTTTGGGAGCTCTGTTTTTGATCAGGCACTCTTGACAAAACACTGGAAATTTGGTCTTTAACTTACTGTTTTTGTGGCTCTCCAATGGAGAACTACTGGAAAAAAACAAATTCTATGTACCTTATTGTGGAGGGCAGAATGGAAGCTTTGGACAAGGTTTACCAGGGACACCCTCCTGTTGAGTCATGAGGTGCAGAAAGGACTCCCTTGCTTTCCAAATTCTTTCTCAAAGAGGAGGCTGGATCCAGGTGCAGTTGGATCCAATCCTGCTCCCAGACTTGACCAACACTTTATGTCCAAAAGTTTGTACGGCTGTAATTGAGCCTTTCCACAACTCTGCTCCATGGGATTAAGGATAGCAAGCCAAATATATTTAAATGAATAAAATAAATTATTTATTGGAATTGACAGTAATGATTGGACCAAAGGACTTTAATCAGAATTACCTACTACAGTATGACTAGTTATAACTACTTGTACAGTGCATTTGTTATTAAATCAAAAATTTCAAAGCCAGCTTAATAATTATTAAGGAGAGATTGTTGTCAGCTGATAGCAAATATATGCTCTTGAGTAATTTTTCTTGTGAGACTTCACTATGCAGCTGCGTATTTTCGTACAGGGTGAGTTTGCAAACAACAGCAAAAAAAGAATCTAATAATGGACTAAAACTACAGGCCCAGGAAGGAGAGTTGTGCTTGGCTAGGCAGCATTGTTTCAAAAGTTAAGGTATTGTCCCATATTGCAGCTCCCCAGGGCCACAGTGAGTCAGTGTTTGCCTCTCTAGTGCTGTGATGAGACACAATTCCACCTGTAAAGCAAGTAAGGGCTCTGCTTATTCATCACTTGGTAGAGCCTCTTCTGAATAACGATAACTAATTATTGACTTCCTCTTGCCTACCCTGACATGAATATTTACACTGGATCACTCAGCAGCTTGGCTGGCTGGCTTTTTTAAATTATTATTTTTTTTTAAATTCCCCATGACACGATTGTTTTGAAAAGCTTTTACAAGCTTCAAGTTTTGGTAGCTCTGACCTTCTGGTAAATACGGCGCAGGAAATACTTCAGGAAAGTCTAAATGTCACTGATACTGGTTTGCAATAAGGAGATGTCAAAATAAACTAGCTGGCTCTTCCATCTCTTCCAAGATTATCAAGACTGAACGGATGACCCTGGATGAAACGCTGGACCGTGAAGTGCTGCTTTTACTTCAGGGGCCTGAATATGGAGGAGAAAAATTTAAGACTGTCATGCAAAACCTGGTCAGTGGCAGAGTTTATGTGAATAAGGATGTGGTCTTCTCTCAACCTTTTAATTAGGAGCTCTCCAAACATTGATAATCAGATTGTGTTTACACCTTTTCAGAAAATAAGAATAGTTGCTTCAAGGGTGTTGAGGGGGGCATAGTTGGTACCTACTCTAACACTGGAACTTGTAAGCTGGGTAAGTTTGGGCAGCATTAAAATGCCAGGGTTTGGGGAATTTGGTTTAGAGTGGTGGTTGTTGTTTTAGGTTTGATTTTCTTTTTTAGCAAGAGGAAGCCTCTGAAGTGCAGGAGCTTGTCATGGCTTCATTGCAGTGGGTAGAAGATCCTGATGGGGACATGCAACAAACCTGGGAAAGAAAACTTTTGGTAAGTAACTGTTTCTCTGAAGATATTTAGTGAATTAGTAGGGCTGTGCAAAAACTGCAGGTAGGTATCTTATTGCTGCATATTCTGTATATTAATTACTTGAGATCATGTCCTAGTTGGAGGTGGCTGTATGGAGAGAAAGAGCATCTGTTACCTTTGGTTTTGAGGAGGAGAGGGGTGATTGCTCTTCACTTACACACCGTGCTCTTCCTGTCTTGTCTTGTGCAAGAGCTGCCTTTGTTAAAACCATGCTTTAGGGAAAGGGCAGGTGAAGCCAGTCAGTTTGGAGAGGAAAATGAGGTCAGATGGCCATGTGAGATCTTTTCTGCCCACTGCATGTTTCTCTGTGCCTCAAACCCATTTTCCCCTGTGCTCTGAACTTGACTGTGGTTCTGGATGGTACAAGAAGAGGGGGGATGTAGCATTTATAACCAGATTTCCAAACCAAAACCTTCATAGGGTTTACTTTGTTTTGAAAGGCGAAGAGTTCTGCTTTTGCTGGACATGCTCCACAGGAAAAGTTTCAACAAAACCATGTTTTACAACTTAATCTTGCATAATGTGTTTCTCCTACCCCTTGTACCTCTTGTGAGGCTTGCAAGTGAAGACTTTTGCTCAAGCTAACCGGCAAAAATATCTTCCCCATGTGGTAGCAGGTGCCTGTGGCGTCGACTAAACTCTGTTGCTCTTGTTCTCTCCTCCCCTCCTCTCCCCTGTGACAGCACAGCTTCTGAAATTTTTATTTTATTGGATGTAGCTTTTTCTCCAACCCTCTCCTTCATTCTAATCTGTTGTAAGGAACACTGCTACAGAAAACTCTGTGTATTAATGCTGTCTTTCAGCTCCTTAATAGAACCAAAACCCCTCAATTCATCTCACTTGGGTAACAGCAGGTAGCACCATGGTACGTGCTGCTTGAAGTTAGTTCTTTAAGCAGAAAACTACCCTCCTTTCCCTCTAGTGCTGTAGAGTGTTGTAGCTGGTCCTCTCCAGGTTTTTTTTTTAAATTTTTCTTTCTTTTTTAAGTAAATCCTGAAAATTTTCTCTTAGAGGAAGCACAAGCATCCAGGTCTCTTCACTCTGATGGGACTTTAGGTAGACTCTAGGAAGCTGCTGGCTCGTGAATTGCTGTGGCTTTTTGATCTTGATTGAAAACTTTCTCCTTCAAAGCTGTCAGAGCTGAAAAATGCTTTTTAAAATTACATTGGGATCGTATTCCTGTTAAACATGTGAAGCTAAAAACTTTAGGTGTGGGGGTTGGAGTTGATCATGGCAAATAAATCCTATTCTGGCCCTTAGAGAGCAACGCATTTGGGAAATTAAGCTAGCAGAGGGTTAAGGAGGAACAAGGTGCTTTAAAATTAAAAGGTCCAGTCCTTCAGGGTCCCATGGGAATGGGAAGTGACTCCATGTCAAACATATTGTCTTCCTCCACCTAGAACAAGCCAGATATGTGGGAAATTTGGTGTATGGAGCTGAACAAAGGTAGGTCCAAAAAAAACAGAGGTTCACAGTAACTTCTTCCAGCCTTAGAAAAAGCTTTTGTTGACAAATTAATTAAATCTTGAACCATGGACCATCACTTGAAGCCTAAACACTTCCCCACTATTCCCTGTGAAATATATTATGGACACGTTTTGCTGGAGTTTAGTGTTTTCAAGTATATTTTAAAGGTTATTATACATAAAGTAGATTTTAAGTGTGCTTCTGCTTTTGTGCATATATACATATATTTAAGTGTATATATAGATAGTGACAGCAAAATCTTCTTCACCCTTCTCCTACTGGAAGATAAGAGTGGCACATGTGCCCTGATAAGCCTTCTGTGTCAAAACCACATCATTTCTAAGAGTAAGTGCTGCATGCCTTGGCTGAGAAACTGATCTTCAGGATGTGGGCACTTGCACATGGTTCACATCCCATGTCATCCCAGAAAACTTATCAGCAAAAACTGCTCAGGCTGGTTTTTGTTGGTTTTTTTTTCTAGCATGCTTGATGTGCTGTGGGGTTTTTTTCTATGAAGCTCACGAACAACATCTGACTCTAACTTGCAAGTAGATAAGGTGGCCCGTGCTTGTAGGATTGATGTTTTCCCCTTAGAATTGATATGAAATCCCAGAAATATAAACCTCATTCTTTCCTGACCTCTGTTTGACTCTCATTAGGCATTCTGTAAAACCTGAGGATGCTATTTCATGTGTTCAGTTGAGCAAGGTCAGAGGAAGAAGAGTCCAGTGCTCTTTCTCACTACTTTATGCTGCAAGTCACTGTTCAGAGAAATAGAGGATGCAATGCTACCTAGAACTTAATTTTTCCCATTTTCTTCCTACAGACCAGAGGTAAAACTGAAAGCCTTTGTCAGTCACAGGGGTCATCCCTTGGGCAGATCATCTGCTAGGCACATATGACAAACTGAAACAGGGATTTATTGGGGTATTTTATTTATTTTGCTGTCATAACAAGCCCAAATTGGTAACAGTGGACTTAGTTGTGCTTTGAGGAAAGGATCACAGAAGTCTAAATTATCAGTTTTAGGGCTTCCTGCAAGATGGTCATTATTAAAACTTCCTCTTATGAAACATGGCAGGTTTGTTGCTGTATCTGGGCCACTTGTGGTAGAATTTTTTCTTTACTGCTGAATAGCGTTGGATGTAGGTGAAGATACTGAGTGGTGGAGCAGGGAAATCAATTCTCATTGTGTAAATTGAGACTCTGGTTGACTCTGTCTCTCTTCCTCCTCCTACCACATGGCAACTCGGTCTCAAAATCCCACAGGTTCTCAAGCAAGAACTAAAAGAAAAAATACATATTTGGATCCAGAAACTTCAGCTCTTGGAAAAATGCAAGGAGACCTTGGACAAGGATTTTGTTCGAATGGCAGGAAACCTGAGGAGAACCAGGACAGAACAACTCCACCTAAGGAAAGAGCTCTCTGCTAGGTACCCTTTCAAAGCCTGCGTGTCTTTCCTGGGGGGAGCTTCGGAGCTGGTTCTTATTTTGTTTTGGGTTGGTTTGTTTGTTTTTTGTTTGTTTGGGTTTTTTGTTTTGACTTGTTCAGTGTGGTTTTTTTTTCTTGTGAAACAAAGTTTACTGAATTTTCAAGACTTTTTTTTTTCCCACAGAGGAAATTAACTTGTTTTGCAGAGTGGATTTGGTTTTAGCATAACGTTTACACTATGTGGGGTTTATGTATGAACTGACATATGGTCTTGGAGATGTCTTTGAAAACACCAGGGAGACCACAGACTGAGGAGTTAAAGCAAGAGGGCCCTGCCTATCTAGCAGGTGCAACCATTAAATAAACTGCTGGGTTTGTGTGAAGTAGAAGATCTGTAAAATATATGCCCTGCAGGTATTATTGCTTTGGGATACAATTGCTGGGCCCAGGCAATGTGATGTCTCAGTTTCCCAAAGCTTTGGTTCCTTATGTCATTAAACATGAAAATGAAACTTTAAGTTTATGGGCACAAGGTTCCTGCTATGATTTTTGATGTTATAAAGAGAATCACAGAATGGCTTGGGTTGGAAGGGACCTTAAAGCTCATCCTGCCATGGGCAGGGACACCTTCCACTCTCCCAGGTTGCTCCAAGCAATGTCCAACCTGCACTTGGACACTCCCAGGGATGGGGCAGCCACAGCTTCCCTGGGCAACCTGTGCCAGGGCCTCACCATCCTCAGCAAAGGGTTTCTTCCCAATATCCAATCTAAACCTACTCTCTGTCAGTTTGAGCAGCAAATGACAGCAGGTGCAAACCTCTGTCTGCTCTCTCCTTTCCTCAGACATTCTGGAAAATAGATAGATCAGTTCTTCCTGGCAGAAACCAGACTGAATTTTGTTGCCTCTGTGGAAGCCAGGCTGGTTCATAGTGTCAGCTTCTGCTATCCTATACTAAATGTAAATTTTTGCCTGCATGCCTTTGCCTGGGTTTGGGGTGTTTTTTTTGGCAGCCCCACGAGCTGATGTGAAGCAGTTGTGCCACACTCTTGCCTGACTTACCTTCCACTGAACATTGTCAATGTGGGCCTCCCACATGCTCTCCCTTCAGTTGGAAAAGAGCTGATAAAAATACTGGTGCCTTGGTTTCTTAAAGCTGTGCCTCTCTGTATTCAAAATTTTTGTGGGAGTAGCGACAGGAAGAAAAGTGAAGGTGAGTTAGAGAAGAAATGGGCAAAGGTTTTCTGCAGTGATCAAAAATAGATGTTTCTTTGAAAGCCATTGGCTTAAGCAGTGGTTCTGATGGCATTTGTCTGCTGTCAAGAGAAATGCCCTCTCAAACACTGGGAAATGAGTCTGATGAAGCTCTGTATCTGCATTAATAGCTCCAGGGTATCTAACTTATATCCAATCCTTTTTTCTCCCAAAGCATGAGAAAACACATTCTTTTGATCGAATTGCAAAAGTTTCCCTCACTAATCTCTTGCTGTTTGAGTCCTCTTGCTGTTTCACAAGCTTCCATTATGGTACCCAGCTGTCTGGGACTGCTTCAGCTGGAGAAACACCAGGGAAAAACCTCCGTCCCCTTCCTGCTATAGAAAAACTCTGTCAGCCTGGGTTGAATTGGTGTGTTCAGCTGGAGCAGAGGAGGCTGAGGGGAGACCCCATTGCAGTTACAACTTCCTGGGCAGGGGCACAGGAGGGGCAGGGACTGAGCTCTGCTCTGGGGGGACCAGGGACAGCACCCAGGGAATGGCTGGAGCTGTGTCAGGGCAGGGTCAGGTTGGATCTCAGGGAAAGGTTCTTCCCCCAGAGGGTGGTTGGGCACTGACCAGGCTCCCCAGGGCAGTGGGCACAGCCCCAAGGCTGCCAGAGCTCCAGGAGGGTTTGGATGATCCTCTGGGGTACAGGGGGTGACTCTGGGGGATGGTCCTGTGCAGGGTTGAGGGTTGGACTGGATGGTCCTTGTGGGTCCCTTCCAACTCAGGATATTCTGTGAATTGTGTTCAGCAAGGACTGAGTCCCTGGTACTGGGAGTGTCTGGAGGATGTCACAGCTGACTGTAGTTCTCCATGCATGTCTCAACAGCCAGGCTGTGTCATCTCCTGGGCATGACCTCCCCAAAATGTCAGTAATGGGTTGTGGTTTGTGCTCTCACCCCGCAGGCAACACGAGCTAGAAACTGTCAAACAGCTACAAGAGGAAACTGCTGGCCAGGCAGAAGCCCTTGGTTTAGAGCTTCAGGAAGCTCTGAAGCAGCTCAAGGATGCCAGCAGACATGTAAGGGACAGTCCAGTTCCTTCTGAGCAGGAAAGAGGCAGATGCCAAAGGCCACGCACGATGTGCGGCTGCCCTTGGGAAAGGAAATCGCGTGTTCGGGATGGTGTGCCTCGCTGCAAAAGTGGAACCAGCAGAGGAAGTAAAATTTGAGGGGGTGGTGACAACAGTTTGCTGATGAAAGAGGCAGCATTGCATATTTGTGGTGGCTTAAAAAAAAAAAAAGAGAAAAGAGAAAAAAAAGCCCAAAAATAGCTTCCATACACAGTCCACCCCAACGTAAAAATGCAGAAGTTCAGAGGGAGCTTTATCACTTCCTGAGAAAGAACAGATGCAGTTTGGTTTCATTTACATGAACTGTAGAGGCTCCTTGTCTTAGCCAGGCAGCTTTTTTTTTAATTTTTTTTTTTTAATTTTTTTTTATTCCTTTCTTTTTTTCCCTTAAATATTGTTTTGTGCTTAGGCGGAGGATCAAGTTGAAGCGTTTCACTCCGCTCGTGAGGAAGCAGCATCCTTGAAGAGCAAGTTGGAGGAAGCCATTTCTGAGCAGCAAAGGCTCAGGGATGTGAGTGCAGCTTTAACAAGCACTTGCCAGTTGCTTCAGGAAAAGGTGGAACACCAGAGAAGTGAGTAACTACTGGCAGTGTGCCAGCATATTCACTCTTGCATGGGCAGATAGTTTATGGGTTAGTTATAGCAAGGGAGGGTAGGACTGATCTGCAGGTAGAATGCTCTGTAGAGCCTTTTTTTTTTTTTCTCCTTTCTTTCTACTTTTCCTCTAAGAGATCTGCCACCGTGGCACCTGGGTTGAAAAGCAGGTGGGATCCCAAGGAGTGGGTGTTTGGGCTCGACCAAAGATTCAGAACCTCCGATGAGGAAGGATTAGTAACTCCACGGGTGCTCCTTTACCAGAGGTGCTGTTCCCACACCTGAACAGCCCACCTTATTCCTGACAAAGTCATCCCTCTTTCTCAAGCTTCCTGGACCAAACAAACCCGATTTTTTTATTTTTTTTTTGCATTCTGCTTGCTGCTTGTAATTGCTCTGTGTTTTTGAATAACTGTTATGATATTAGACTGCTCTCTTCAGTGGAAAGCAATTGTGTCACTGTGCTGTACATGTGCAACTTCTGCCACAGAATCATGGAAACTTCATGCTGCCTCTTACTCCCTAACCTCAAAAACTTAGATGACTAAATAATGCAGTGGCTGCTTCTTCCCAAATTGTGGAGTGTGATAACTTGCTTATAGAAGGAGAATCTGACTGACTTATCCCACTGAATGTTTGGCCTCAGGCATGAATTTCCCAAGGCAATGTTGCTGATGCTCAGCACACGTGTGCGTTGTAAACAACTCCATGTGAAACCACAGTTTGTCTTGTAGGAAACAACATTTTTGTTGGAAAAACTACCCTTTTGCTTAGCTCTGAGGCACAACTGTTATGCACTGATATGGCAGGAACAGCTCCAGACTGTGCTCACCCACTTGTGATCAGTAATTTTGGCACTGTTCACGTGTGTGTGCTCATGTTCCTTTCATGCTTGCTGCTTCCTTCAAACTGTGAAGTTGATTTTTTTTTCCCCTTAACAAGAGGCATAATAATGGAAATAGTGTGTCATTTTCCTGCTCTGAATTGACAAAGCTCTTCTGCAGAGTGAGCTAGAGTAAGTGAAGAGAGAGACAACCCCAGACATGTGGACTGGTGCCACTGTGACTCTAAAAAAAAAAAAAAAAAAAAAACAAACCAAAAAAAACTTAAAAATTCCCACCACCCTGAAAATGGCTGAGATTTTGGCTTTAAATTGCTCCAGTTAGAGATCTCTGCAAACTTTCTCTAGATTTAATATGTTAAACCTGTAGATTTAATAGAATTAAAGTGGCAGATGTGTAGAGAAGTTGCAAAGTGTTAAAAAGAACAGGGCTGAGAAACAATGCTGGCACTGGGGGAAGAATAAAAATGTTTTATATTGGCAGAAAGCCACACAGGTCTTGTTCCTCTTCTGACTGAAGGGCTGGGCTGTGGTTTCTTCCCCACCTACCCACTCCATTCCCCTACTTCCTCCCACCTGTGTGCTGAGAGGTGAGAAATTAAGGAACCTGTTGGCTAAGGAAGCTGGTACTCAACCTCAGTCAGCCTAGCACTGCTCCTTTTACGTTTCAGGTGTCTAATTGTGCCTTGCCCCTAATTGCTCCAGCCCTCATCCAGTGAAATGCTGCCCAGGCTGCCGATGAGAGCTCCTTTCAGTGCTTGGGCACTGAGGTCACAGTGCTAATAAAATCCCCTTTCACCCTCCATATTAACTGTGGTATAAAAGATATGATAGAATTAAGGTAGAACTCACTAGAGGCGGGTCTTGGCATTACCAAACTTGAACAAAGAATGCTTCTAAATATAACATAAAGCCCATCAACTTTAAAACTTCTCTACAGGACAACAAATGCTTCTCTTGCAATAATTAATCTGTTTCCACAGGGAACTTTGGCATCACAATGTTAATAATGCTGGGAAGCATAGCCCCCACCCTCTGTATAGCAAGGGGAAATGTAACCACGGGGAAGACAGAGTCCAGTGTTTTTTCTCTTTCCTGTGGAAAAACTGTTGTAGGCATAACTAGACCAATGCAAATTACAGTGAGTTCTGATGGGCAGTAGTCAGGTTTAAAGGTGCTATAACATCTATAACATCCAGCTCCTTGTTACGAAGCTGTAAGGAACCCTGATAGGTTTGTAAATGTCTCCTCATAGCAACTGCTAATGCACTGAGATGGGAACTGCTTCAGAGGAGACTCTGCGAGTTGGTGTGTCAGGTATGACCTTGTTTGGTGGGAGAAGAAGAGGCAGGTTTGCCCAGGAGGTGCTCTGGTGGAAGGACAACCACAGCTGGGATGAGCTGCAAATAATCTGGCAGCATCAGGTTTCTCCTTTTGTAGCATGTGGATGCAGTAAATTGCATGTACCAATCTGCACATTGCTATTTTCCTTATTCAGCCTCCTGGGAAAAATGGGTCGGGACTTACAGGTGTGGTGTTGGTGAACAATTTTTATGATCACATCCAATGGTTGTGTTCTTCACTGATGAGTTGGTGTGATTTTCCCCCCCACCCCCCAAAATCAGTCCTCTCTTCTGCAGACAGACTTGAAAACAAACGTTTAAAATCTTGTCCTGTAAGATTTTATTTTTTTTTCCAATATCCAGGCACTGGGATAGGTAGTGAAAGAGTTATTACCTTTGTGGCCCTCTGTGGAAATATGTTGGAAATTACATAACTCTGGAGTGCTTTGCTTTGAATAAAATTACTTGCTTCAACTTTGGAAGGGGGCGGAGGGGGAGACATTGTGGAAAGACTTTAGTAGGGAATGCTATAGCTCAGGGTCTGAGCAGCCTGGATTTAACACAGAATAACAAGGTATTTATAATGGCAAACAGAAGATCCTGAAGTGGCTCCTAGGCTGTAATAGGAGCATCAGAGGAGCAGGATCCAAACTGTGGGCCAGCTGCCTGTGAATAAAACTTGTATTTGTGTATGAAGGTCTGCAGAATTAAAGGCTGAAAGTAGCAAGGGAGGGAGAAACAACTGCAGAGTTTTGCAGTTGCAGTTTTGTAACTGATAGCTGAAAATAGTTCAGCTTGAAAGATAAAGTTGCTTTTTGCTCAGAATCAGTAGCAGTGCTCTCTTCTCCTTTTATACTTTTTTTTTGTTGTTTTTTTTTTCTTCTGCATCTGCCTGCCTTAAACTATTTCTCTCCTGCAACAGTGCTGTGCAGAGTTAGAATCTGCCTATGGTCTGCTGCCCACCTCAGCTGAACCTGTAAAAGGGAAGGTAAGTGTGCTTTCTACAACCATTGCTGAGCCTCTTAAAGTGTTTGGGCTTTTTTCTTCATGACCTGAGGGAAATAAATAACTTCGTTTGCCAGAAACGTCACCAAATTAAACATTCTATAAAAATAATTTGAGATCCATATATGGGTACATATGCATGCATGTGTTTAAATGTATACAAAGGTATATTCCATGCATATTTCTTGCAAGTGGAAAGTTGGATTATTCTCCCTCTTCCTGTACCTGTTGTGCCTGTTGAGGATGTGAGTTTTTCTAGGCAAAAAAAGCAACAGATGACGAATTTGTAATTGTTAGTATTACATTATGCAGATGGTGGGGGGGAAGTTGATGGCTTTAATATATTCAGTGTGGTTGAACAGCAGCACTTTTTATTTTTCAATTAGCAGCTCTATTGCTCTAAAAGGCTGTGGAGTGAAGGACCCTCAGATCTTTTGTCTTGCCACAGTTCCCCTCTGCTAGGTAAGACCTGGTGGTGCTGGCCATTTTTCTATCTCTTTCCTGAAGCACAGGCAGAGTTGGTAGAACAGTATCATTAGTGATAAATATGCTGGTAAAGTGTGGAAAAATCTATTGTGAGTTTTAACTTATTCCGGCATGTGATCCAGGAAGCTGAACCATGTTTATAGTGCTTGAAAAGGTGACTGGCTGGCTGTCTGTCTGACAGGAGTCCCCAAAAGCTTAAGGAACTCTCAATATAAATCATACATCCAAGTATATTCCTGACAAGATGCTTGCCAATATAGAGTAAGAGGGTTTGAGCCGTGTTCTTCCCATTCCCATTGAGACAGCAAGTGATGTCCTGCTCCTTTGCTGCTGAGCTGAGGCCAGTGCTGTTTTAAAAACTTCATCAGGTAACACAACTACTGAGAATAAAATAATAGAATTATAGAAAATAGAACGGCTTGGGTTGGAAAGGACCATAAAGATCATACAGTTCCAACCCCCTGCCATGGGCAGGGACACTTCCACTAGCCCAGGTTGCTCAGAGCCCCATCCAACCTGGCCTGGAACACTTCCAGGGATGGAACAGCCACAGCTCCTCTGGGCAACCTGTGCCAGGGCCTCCCCACCCTCACAGGAAGGAACTTCTTTCATATAACTAACCTAAACAGGTATAATAACAACAGACTAATAGCCTATAAATGCTCAAATTTAATTCTAGGCTGTACTGAGGGAAATGGAAGAAGATCTTGCTCTACTACAAGTGCTCCTTATAAGAGCATTCTGCTGCTCTGAAAGGGCTGTTCCAGTGAGCCAGCTGGGAGTTTTCTTGCAGCTTCCTATAATATCATGATCCAGCAAATAAGGCATGTTTTCTCAGCTTGCACCAATCAAGTATTGATATATATAAAAAAAAATCATTTATTTCCTGGTCTTCTCTGCCACACAAACCAATTCACTACCACAAAGCTGTCCAATGTGGAAGTTTCTAGAACCTGACTGGTGGAAAGTGCCCATCCCCAGGTGCTGCAGACTCTCCATCTACAAAACATGTAACACCTTCATACCAAGATGGAAATCACCTTGTTATAAATCTCTCTTTGGTTGTTCTGCTTCTTGGTTATTTTAGTCTTAGCCAAAAACTGACACACAACTAAATCTAACCTTGCCAACAACCACCTCTCTTTGCTCGTCTGTCTTTAGACGCTCTGAGCTTGGAAACCTCCTGCCCAAATAACTCCCCCGGGCACAGCTGGGACCGGCCTTGCAGGGAGAGCTCTGGCAGCTGCAGCTTTGGAAGGGGTGACCTGGGACATGTGTTCACGTCAGATGTGACATTAGAGGCCTGCAGGTAAGATGGCAGAATAACCTCTTTGGGGGGAAAGGTGGAGGAGTCCATGGGATGTGCTGAATTCAAAAGCAGGACCTCCCTTATGGGAAATACTGGACACCTGGTGATCAGCAAATGGTGATGTGGGGTAACACTTGGCTTCTATCCACAAATATGAAAACTCTTTTCTGGAAATGTTGGCAGTCAGTCAAATGCAGTGACGGTGTTTCCATTTAATGCTGGAGAACTGAGGCATGATTTAGGCATTCTTGTCTATTTTCCATGTGTAGCTCACAATTGGTGCTTTTGAGGAGTCACTTTTTTTGTTTATTTGCAGAGTTTAGAGCAGGAATTCTGTGGTCTTTGCTTACCAAGATGCCTCCTTAGATCTTTAAAATAGGGGTTGAATGGCTTAAGATTATGAAAGCTGAAGGGAATTGCAGTGAATATTTTAAAAGATGAGGATGTTCCTGAAGGTGCAGAGGCAGGCGGTCTGCAGCAAAAGACTCAGCAGCTCTTGAAGCTTTTGCCACTGGTTTTCTGTAGAATTTTGCAGTGTGGAGGAGGCTGGGAAAAGGACTGGTGGTGGTTCTTGCTGTTCGGGGGAGGAGGGATTGATGTTGGTGATGAATTTGTCTTTCTCTGAGAGATCAGCTGACTGACGATACAGATAGTGGTGCCTTCAGTTGTTATGTGCTTAAGGAAAATGGGCAACACATCTCACTGTTGTTTGGGCAAGATGCAAATAAAGTGTGTGTTGCCAGGTGGAAAATATGCTCTGCTGGTGACTACACTGATGCAGACCTTCCTGTTTCCATTACAATGATGGACTCTTCACTTACTGAGGTAAGTGCTGTCTCTGATGCCCTGGATGTGGTTTTGAACAGGTTCAGGTATTTTAGTGCCTTACTCAGGCCCAGGTTGATCAGCTGTAAATCAGCACTGCTGCAAGGTGAATGGAGCTGGTATCGGCCAGCAGGGTGCTGTGTGGGGTATTCCCTCCTTTTTGGGCACACTTCTGGAATGCCATGATTATAAATCTGAATGCCTTGATATTTACATGCAACTGGGTCATTCTTTTAGCTGAGGAGTATTTTAAACGTGGTTTCAGGGATTGAGACAGTGCTGTTTTTGCAGTAATACTTGGTTATGCCAGGGAAGCCTGAGTGCTTTCTCTCTTTTTATCCACCTGCAAGGAGCCACAGGGTGCTTTGATTGGGAAACGCTGCCTTTCTTTGCACTTTCTCCCACGGCCACCATGTAACAGCAGAGAAATGCCATCTTTGCTGTATGAAAGCTTTCCTTCAGCTGATGTACTCAGCTATGCCTTCACTGCTGGCTCGAATTCTGCCTCTACAGCTTGAGCTGTCAGTCAGTTTTCTCGTGGCAACAGCAAGATGAGCTGCAGCTCAGCACACCCAGTTGTGCCACAATGCTCACTGTTGAAATCTAGACCTCAGCTCTGCCACACAGAGCTTTGCAAAGAGCTTTATAGACTCCAAGGATGGTGGTGATGATGGAAGAATACTGGTCGGCGGTTTCTGTTAACCTAGATAACCTGTGGGATTGATAACCTTTTATAACCTAAATAACCTTTTATAACCTAAATAACCTTAAATAATAGCCTTTGGTCCAGTTGTAGCAGCAAATCAAAGCAGAAAGTAAGAGTGGTGGGCACTGCCTATGCTTTCAACACACTGCTTGCTTGGGGTAGAGCAGGTGAAGAACTCCCAGCTTATGCTGCTACTGCTTAAGTCACCTTAAAGAGGATAATCTCAAGGGTTCTTGCTTTAGCCAGTCCTTCTGGAAAGCCACAGCCTTGCAAAGGTGTTTAAAACACCTGGGCTTCATTGCTCTGGAGCTTTCTGTAATTCTACCTGGGCTCAGAAATGTCACTTTTCCATTCTTGCTATCATTTTTTAATACAAGCTTTCTGTGTAAATGTTCTAAAGAAGGAAAATTTAAAAGGTTAAAGCTTGTCCCAAAAAGAAGGCAAATGGGCTCTGCCCAGTATCTGTTCTAAAAACTGGCATGCAGCAAAATTTGTATATCCTTGTTTAATAGGAAAAGTCTCCCTAGTTTTCTTTGGAGTTTTATTACACTGCCATTGCAGATGTATTTGAGTAGATTGAGTCTTTTAGCATATAAGTAACTCAAATTATTTATGTAGAAGCATTGTCATCATAGGAGGTTAAGGGCTATTTAATAAAGGAGCGCTTGGGCTTTTTATACTTGTTTTGATTTATAAATGTGGAAGTTGTATCACAGTCTAAAAACCAGGTCTTCCAAATTTTAATAATTGTTTGGGAGGAGTTATAAAGGACTGTGGCTAGAATTTGTCTGCTGTTATAGAGAATCCTTGGATTATTATGTTAATTGAAGGGATGGAAGGAGGGGGAAAAGTGATCAGGAATGTACTGCAGGATCTTCTCTGACAGTCTTTTTATGAGTAGGAAAAGCCATTCTCTGGGACAACAGATTTTATTGGAAAATCTAAAATGTGGGCTTTTCTTGTTGTTTTTTTTTTCTTTAAGTGTAGTCCATGGGAAAACACAATCCTAATAGTATTTTTTAAAAACTGAATTGAGGATTTTCTTCCCTTGCAAACAGAAACCACTGACCATGTGAGGGAGAGGGCATGTACAGTAATGAATTACTTTAATCACTTCCAGGTGATGAAAGGGGCTTTCTGTTTTGTTTGGGTGCTGTGCATAAGTTTTAAAAACCCTTTAGATTTCTTTTGTTTTCTTTCCCACCTCCTCCTTCCCTGGCTCTGCTGTGGACCTAACAGCCCCAGCAAAGCAAATGCAGTGCTGTACTTCCTTCAGCTTGAGAGAGCATTCAAATAATGATAAAAATAGCCTGAATTTGCATTAGAGGAAGCATCCATCTGGCTGGGGCAAGGCTCTGATAGTGGGGAGTGAGGAGGGGAGAGAAGGCACTTACTGATGCTGAGAGTAGTTGGTTGCTCTCAGAAGGGACCAGGGGCCTTGGACTCCTCTTGTTCTACTTTGCTGGGTTTCTTGGGCCCTATTAGGATGTTTTAGGGGGGAAGAATGATACCAAAACATGGTTTTTCTGTTGGCTCCCCACACACAATTCAACAGTGCTCTTGGACTTGCTATACAGGGGGCTGGCCTGGCCTAACACCTTCTCTGCTTGGAGAGAGGTTTTGGGTTGTTTTTTTTTTTTTGTTTGTTTTTTTTTTAATGTATTCAACACTTCAACAGTTGGTGCAGTTCATCACAACTCATTACCAGCTCAAACCTTCAAACCTCAGTTTCACCCTGTATTTTCATCTGTAAGAAAAATCATTTTAACAATGTGGAGTTTTTTACAAGCTGGAATTATCCAGGATAAAATGAGGAAGAGGGATAGTACCCCTACAGTGCCTCCCTTGATACATTAAAAGACCAAACAGGATATTGGTTTTGTCTGTGATGTGATAAGACTCGGGTCCAGAACCACACTGGAGCAGCTTAAAGGAACATGAGGAAAAACTATGTACCCACACTTAACTGCTTCATTCCTTTTTGCTGTTTGCACACCGAGGAGGAGGCCTGGGGCCCTCTGAAGGGGCTGGATAACTTTCATGTATATAATATTGTAAAACTGGAGTCATTCAAAGAGAGACACTAAAATGTACAACACAACATGCAAGTTTTCTGTGTTCTGAACTTGGTCATGCTGTTGCTATTAAAACTTTTATTTACCTAAATGAGTCTGGTACCCATTACCAAGTGAAGCTCTGTGCACCTCACTTGTAGGGTTTGAGGTCAAGACCTTCAAAATCGATATCTCTTCATACACAACGTTAGGGTGGAACAGAGGTGCAGTAACATGTGCCTTGGACACTTGAAAACGTGCATGAGAAGCAAACCATGAAGTCAGGAACCAAAACACAACCTCTAAGCATGATATTCCTGAGATAAGAGTTCTGAAGAAATGTAGTGATCACTCCTAATAATGAGCTACACTACTCACTGTATCTACGGGTGGCTTTAGAACAGAGGGTGGATCTGTGGGCATTTCCCATCTAGTTCTTCAGTGCTGAAATAATTTAGGCCTAGCTGGGGCAATTATTGAAGCTTTGACACAGAAATTTGATACTGGCATGGCAACCCTCTCCCTGACACTAACTCTTCTCTCTCTCTCTTCCTGAAGCTTGACTGTGTGGAGGCAACGCTACCAGCCGGTCTGATCCCATCCAGGTCAGGTCTTGTGCAAAATTTAAAAGCCTTTGTGGAGATTGTATAATGTGCATGAGTATCTCAAAGGGTTTTGCTTTGGCAGCGACCACCTCACCTCAGCCCGAGACGTTCTTGCATCCTCGGTGGAAAGCACGGCACCGGTGACGGGTGAGTCCTTACCCTGGGGCTCAGAGGGGCAAAGGTTTGCACTGGAAACCTTGGATATGCTGAAGTCTGTGCATTTACTGAGATGTAAGGGCTGTGTCTTCTGCCTGGTACCGTAGGCTGCCTTGTCATGGAGGAAAAATCACCCAAGGGCTTACGTGAGGGAGAGGATGATGTGCCAGCTCCCGCAGCAACGGAGAAAAACAGCAATAAGGATCCAGCTGGTCCTGTGTCAGGTACAGTAACTGCTGCACTGCCCTGGCACTCACCCAGTGGTTCGCTTCCAGCACACCTTTTGAAGTGAGGAAGCTGAGTAAGAACAACTTGTGAATTTCTGGGTTTTTTGCAAATATTTTCACCTGCAAATGCCTCTCAGCCCTCCCTGAAACTCTGAGTGGGAATAAGGCTTCACGTATTTACAGGGGGCTGGTAGGCTGCAGCACTGCAAGTAAACACCAAACAGCTTAGTGAAATCTGGGTGGTTGCTTAGCTGGCAAAGCATTGCACTGGTACTAAATTTTGGGAGGGGAACGAGTGTTTTCATGGTTTTTAGAGAGTTTAATGCCACCATTAGACCAAATAACACTTTTTCCTCTCTTACAAAACTGTTGCTCAGTGCACAAGAAGCTGGGCTGGATCAAGAGGAGAAGTGAGGATAGAGGCCTTAGTGTATGATTCTGTCTTTTGCTATAGCCATAGACACCCAGAAGAATTATTCTTACCACATCTGGTGGTGCTTCTTCCACTTTAAAGCTATAAAAGCAAACCCAAACCTTGAGTAGGTGTACATAGCGTATTTAAGTTATTTTTATAAAAGCTGATCTGAATAAGCAGCACAAAATACCTGTGTGTGCTTGTTTGTAACCATTTTTTAATCTTTACCTAAATGTAAGACTTTATGGCTTCCTGTTTGGTTTTGTTTCATTCTTTGTGTTATCTTCCTGAACTCTAATTCAGTCCCCTCACTTAAAAGTGTTTTCTTTCTACTAATTTGCCTCTACTGTTAATCTTCATATGTGGCCCAGGTGCCTTTGGCAGGGAGGAAACAGATAGGCAGAACAGATCAGAAATAGTCCCAGCAGCTTTAAAGTCTGAGAATCAATTGAAGTGTTGTACATACTTGAAAATAAAGTGTTTCTAGTATTAGTATTGAGGAATCTCTACTTGTGGGCTTTGCTAGTACCATACTATGTCTTCTAGAGGGCTTGGCTGCTGCAGAAACTAGTAGGGACAGAATTCTGAGCAGAGGTGTTTGTTCATGTTCATCCCCCTGAAACTGGAGTTTTGGTTGTTTTTTTCCTTTTTTTCATTTTTTGTTTGTTTGTTTTTCCCTGTGCCGTTTCTTCAGCTCAAATCTGTCTGTGTGTGTAACTACACAAACAAAAGAAAAAAAAATCTAGATATTCTTAAAGCTACCAGAGATACTGCTACACAAGAAATTTAGTGTGACTATGACTTTCTTCAGTTTCCTAAATACTTTCAGTTTTGAATATCTCTAGTAACTGCCAAGGTTATTTTTGCCTGCTTTATAGCTTTTCTAAATTGTGGCACTTGAAAGTTTGTGTTGCTTTTGAACTGGCATCATCAACTGAATTTACCAGTTTGTTGCCACTCAGCTTCTGGGAAAAAGAGTTATTTTGTTGGCTCTGTCAGCACCCTGCTGGTTCACTTTTTGGGTACAAAGGGCAGACCATGTTCAGAGTTTATGCCACAACTGTATCCCAATTGTGCATTTCATGACCTGGTTGTGCTCAAGCTCCTCAGTAACAGCAGCTGAATCAGCATCTATTTCTTAATATCATCTGATATTCCATAATGTGAAAGAAGATAATTACAGATACTCATAATTTGTCTTGTTGCTTTGTGCATGGGACTTTTTAAAAAATATTTCTGTGCCTATAGAATTCAAAATAAAAAGTAACTATAAGCTGTCTCTTTAAAGAGCAAACTGAACACCCCCCCCAACAAATAATAAACAATAACAAACAAATAACAAAACCCCAATATAATAAAATTCATTTATCCAAGAAAATATTATTATAACTCTTGCAACTTCAACTACAGCAAGTACAACCAGGAGTAATATTCTCAGCTCTAGACATATAACACTACTTATTGGGATTTTTTCCAAGCCAAACATAATTATCACACTTCTTTCTATATGTCTTTATAGTGTTTTTTTGCTGCTGCCTCTCCTCCTTAGTGGCCTCTCCTGACATTTGCTGTGGTTTCTTTTAGCCCTGTTGGCCCATGGCTCATATGATGGGTGCTGGAAGCTTGGTGGGGCTTCTTTATATTTGACTTTTGGGAATGTTTCTCCACAGGACCCATCAAGCAGGAATTCTGCCCTGTGATGGAGGAACACAAACCTGCACCTCAAAGTGTTTTAAAGCAAGACCTGGTAAGAGCCCTGGTGACAGTGAGACACCAAACTGCCCTGGCTGAGCAGTGACAAAGGAGGGGACAGGCCTCCTCCAGAGGTGGTGTGGCTGCTCCCTTGCTGTAATTATTCTGCTGTGCCTTTAGGAGGTGGACCAGGAAAAGAAAAATAACAAAGAGCGGGGTGAGGAAGCACCAGCTGTTGTTCCCAGTAGGAAAGGTAAGAGGTTCTTGCTGAACACGTTCACATCACTCACTGGAGCACAAGTCTTGGTCACCTGAGCTGTGTAGAGAGGATCAGAGAGCTGCCTGTACCACACCAAATATTACAAGGGGGTTTTAAGGAGTAGTAGCTGCCGTTAAAGATCAAAATGGATTAGCAAAGGGGAGAAGGACAGGGGTGTCATGCAAAATCTGATTGCTACAAATACTGATCTAACCAGCTCCGTGTTCCTCTAGACAGCAGGGAAAAATTCTTAGGAGCTGCAAAGGAGGTGGGATGTTTGAACCGGTTCTGGCACACCTGTTCTCCCCAAAGAATTGTAAAGCAGTGTCTCTATGCTAGGTACAATACAGATAAGCAGGATGTTGTTTTTACTTAGACATCTCTGCTCTTCTAGTCCCCTCACCTCTTGCCTTTGGAGCTCACTAAAAGCTACTGATGTAGTATGTCACGTAACATCCTGAAGCCAAAACATTTAATTAACCATTTCTGTGCTAATAAGATGCCAGTTGAAGCCACCTAAACAAGTAAATTCTGGGGCTTTGTACAAGTGGCAGAGCTGTGCTGCCTCACACCCAAAATACTCTGAGTTGCTTTTATTGGCAAGAGCTGAACACTGGAAATCTTCCACAGTGGCTTCTGTTGAAGCTTAAAAGACTTTCACAGGTTGGTTTGGGGAGGCTGTTTTTTCAGTTTTGTCTGAAGGATTTTTGGGGTTTTTTGTCTCTTGTCAGGGAGTTCACCCACTGCAGGTGGCATTAAAGGAGATAAGACAAAGCAAAACGAGCCGTAAGTGTTTTGACTTTGAGTGATCAGCTGCAGGTATGAATTTAAAGTTGCAGTGTGTTACACGATTCTTCTTCTTATCCTACAGTGAATCCCCTAGTGAGAAGGAAGTGGAGGTAAGTCTCAACTGCTTGTATCCTTAAGTATTGTGTACAACAGAAAGATCTGGTAGAGAAGCCGTGATTAATATCTTGTCCTAAGTAAAAGAATGATGCTGAGCAGCTTAAACTGGATGTATTTCTACATGTTACCTTCTGAAATCTGCCTTTTCAAGCCTAATGGAAATTTTGCAAGGGATGGGGAAAAAGGCAGAAATCTGTAAAATGTTACAGAGTCACCACTGTAACGTTTGTTTGCAAGCTTAAAGGAGCGTAGCTGTGACCTCCTCCCAAGCAGAATGTGCTGATTTTAGAGAGTTATGTCAAAAGGCACAGATGGCACACTCTGTGCTGCCAGGATGTCACCTATTCTGGCTGCAGAATGTTCCCCCCATCACTACAGATGGGAAGACTTGCTTTGGGGAAGCAGGCCACGTTCACTTACCCTTCTGTACCTTTTCTATAACTTCGTTCTTGGGGTATAGTCCCAAATGTCATGTCAGTGTCCAAGTCTATTCAAAAAACTTCTGCATCACTTGGATTATTCTGAAATCTTCTCCTCTCCCCCAACAGGCTGAATTTCTGAGGTTGTCTTTAGGTTTTAAATGTGACTTGTTTACCTTGGACAAGAGGGTGAAGCTCGAAGAAAGGTCTCGAGACTTGGCTGAAGAAAACTTGAAAAAGGAGATCACAAATGCTGTAAAGATGTTGGAGGTTAGTATTGGCCAAGGCTGGTAGGGTGGATGAAGTGAACAGCTGTGAAAGTGCCTCTCTTGAAATGGCTCTTTTAAGGGTGTGTGTGATATATTACAAACTAATCTGGATGAAGTTCTTGAGCAGCACAGTTGAAATATGAGAGATTATGAGGGGTAACCTTCATCTGAGTGGTTTGTGTGCTCAGGCAACAGAGAATTTTTCTGTAGCATAAAACCTGACCTGAACCCCTGCCTTCAGCTGGTTTTGTGCTAGATAAACTGAGGTCTCTGCCCACTGAAGTTCTGTATCCAAGTTACACTGGTTGAGGATGTTGGATGCTGATCTTGTCCCTGTGTAGGCCCAAACACAACTCCTCAGAACCGTCAGCTGGGTTCACTCTTCATTCTCTGTTGATAATTCACCTATTTTCTTACCAATGTGCCTCTCAGGCTTTAGTTCCTTTGTGTGAAGAAGACAACCAAGCACAGGAGATCATTAAGAAGCTGCAGAAAAGCTTGCAGTTCCTCAGCCAGTATGCAGCCCGAGTGGCCAGCAGAGCAGAGATGTTGGGAGCTATTAATCAGGTAACCATTTCTGTGTAAAAGTATTTTGTACAAAGTTAAAAGCTTCTAGATGTAAAGGGGGGGTCACATCTGTTTGCTGGGTTTCTGGTTCCAGAACTGGATTTGGGAATCTGGTGTATATAGTGTAACTGCAAAAAGAAATAAGGTCCTGATTTAAAAGAAAAACCAAATAAAAATATTTAAAAAAAAGACTTTGCAGCAGTGGGATATACATAATAGCAAGCACGAGAAAGCAATTTGACAACAATAGTCTTGAAGCTCTAATGATGTTTCTGTGCCTTATGGAAAGGGCAGCTAATGAGCTAAATGTATGGAAATGTGCAAAGACCTGCTCAAATGCTGGGTGTAATTGTGAGTAATGCCATGGAGCAACATGAAAACACAACTTGGCAATACCAGCAAATGCGTGGTGGCAGCTGAGACTGTAGATCAGAGAAAGAGATGAGGAGGAGTTGTAAGAGCTTGGAAAACTGAAGACTGCATTATTTATTTTAGGATAAGAGTAATCAGTGGAGAAATGAAAGCTGGGCATGTGTTGGGACACAGGTTCTAGTGAAACTTTTTGAAAGGGTGGACAAAAAAGGGAGGCTGCTGCTTCATGGTGATACAAGATGAGAGCAGGTGCTGAAGGAGGGAAATTTCTAAACATGATGCACTTCCTCAGAGTTGTTTCCTTCTCCTCCTGCTGTTGCCCTTGCCCTGTTAGGAGAGCCGGGTCAGCAAGGCCGTGGAAGTGATGATCCAACACGTGGAAAACCTGAAGCGCATGTATGCGAAAGAGCACGCGGAACTTGAGGAGCTGAAACAGGTCCTGCTCCAGAACGAGAGATCCTTCAGTTCCCTGGGAGACAGAGGTACCTGGAAAAAACCCTTTCTAGCACCTGCCAGAGGGACCCTTACAGGTGAAGCTTAGATGAAGGGAGAAATAGCAATTTGTTAGCGGTATTAAAAACAACTCCCCAAAATTAGACTTGTAAACTGTGATGGATCTTGGAGTGTGTGTGTGGGACCACTGCAAGTACACAGGAATATTCTGGCTTTCAGCAAAGTGCATTGCATGTGTTGGTGATAATCTTATTCCTTGTGAGCAGTAAATTTGGGTGCTGGTTCACACTGGAGCATTTGCAGGAGCTATTTCTAGGTAGCTGAGCTTTGACTGCTCTCTGCAGATGCTTCCTGCCCTTCTCTAAACACGAATTAGACTCCTTAAGAGCAGGGGGCCTAATTTCCCCCTCTAAGAAGGTGGCATGGTAGTCAGGTTTTCACATGGTGCTGTGCACTTGTGGATTTGCCAGAGAAGTATTAAATTCTTCTGAGAAATAGGATGTGTCTTTTTAAAAACCAAAAGGGCAGTCTCACACACCAGTAAAATCCTGGCAGGAGCCTTCTGAATCACAGGCTATTCTGTTCTGACTGTAAAAGATAGTCCTGTAACAGGACACTGCCTTGATAATAGAATACATTTGATGATAGTGACAGAAATTGTTGCTTGCAGAGGATGTGCAATGTGTGGATATTAAGAACTTATTAATGAATTAGCTTTTTCCTGAGATCTCATTTCTGCTTTCTGAGAGTGCTCTCATACACTTTGTTTAAAGAAACACTGCAAAAAGTCAGACCTTTAGCTGAAAGTAGAGCTCAAACTGTGTTCCTGTAAGCTTGTTCTGATGTTTGATCTCTTCACAGATGAATCTACAAATAAAAAGCTACCAAGTCCTTTTAACTTTAAGGTACAGCCTTACATGAAATGTCAAGTTTTTAAGTGTTGTGTATGTGTGTCTTCCTTTGCTTTGTCATGTGCTGGTGCTCTGCTACATGCTTGGCTTGGTGGTTTTCTGTCACAAATATGGGTTGATGTCATCAAACATGAGGATCTACTTTTCAGACACCCCACCAACCTTCTAAGTCACACATAGAAGATGACATGGTCAGGCTCTCAGTAGTTAAGAAATACTGTTCACGTGTGGTTCTCTCATTGGGGTTGAAAAAAGGTTTAGCACAGAAATATGAAAAAAATAGATGAGAGTGATTTAAATTGATTATGGGAACTCCTGTGAGCAGGATTAGGGGAATTTAGACACATTCAGTTTTGCTATTTTGCTGGGGGCTGAGTAACCAGCCCCACTCAGGTGCTAAAAACTTAATGATGCTTTAAAGAATGATTTTTGCCTGCACTTGTGATTTGGTTCTTTGTGTGTCATTTCAAGCCAAGTATCAACACCCTATTTTTTATAATACAGTCTGTGTAAAAACAGATGGTGTTTTATGTGCTCAGTGAGTAATCCAGTGGTTCCTTGATAAGAGCCAGTAACGCCTCTTATTTGTGTAGCCATCATCAGCCCTGCGGAGAGTTAGCATTGCAACAGTGCCCAGGAGTGCTGGGAATGCAGGGATTGGGTTGCCACTGGTAAGTAGGGGGGTTCCCAAAGGGGTGGGGAGGTGCTTGATCTTCTCAAAACTGGCTGGGCTGAAGCATGAGAATGACAGTGCAGTAAATGTGCCAAATTTCTTCTCCAGGCCCAACTCCACGACCCCGACGGAGACGAACGGAGTGAGAGGTTCAACAGGAGATCAAGCAGTTGGTAAACTCCTCTGGGCTTGTCTTTGAAAAGGGTGAAATGTTTTTGTTTTTTTTTTTTTTTTTTCAACTCCAACTGTGCCTGCAGTAAACAGCTTATGGGGCATCTCGAGGTATAACAATGTTTATGTTATGCCTTTCATGTTAGTTTTAGGTGCTACAACAGGTAAATGAGCCTTCAGGACTAAACGTTACAGCTGCTCTTTTTTATTTATTTCATTTATTTAATTTTTTTATTAGGCATTGGAAACTTTTTTAAAAAAATACCTCAACTAAAATGTAAACTCTAAGTATCAGCCATTGATGGATCTGTGGTTTTGTTTGGTTTTGTTTGTTTGGGTTTGGGTATTTTTTCCAATAATCGTAATTTCAGGCAACTAATTTTGAAAGTTATTTGTCTAAGGCCTACCTAAATGAGTAGCAGGCTGCTAAATTTCTGATTTCCTGCTATTTCCTGGGGAAATTCAGGCAAATTTGTTTAAAATGTGCCAGGGGGAAACTAGGGGTGAAGCAAAATGAGAAGCGTCCTTCGCTGCAGCGATTCCTCAGCACCTATTCCTGGGCAGAGTACGAAGAGGAGCACTTTGCACCAAAGTAAGTCCAACAGCAACCTCCTCAGGGATGTGTGAGCAGGGTGGGTTGGCTGGTTTTTAATGAACTCTTTGATCAGGGCTATAAAATCCAGCTATTGTGAATTTAGCTTGATGGCAAAGCTCTGGAGCTGTTGGTTCTTGCCTACAGAAATGAGCAGTCAGAGTCCCCTGCTGAAGTACAGGAACAACCCACCAGGAAGGAAAGTGTCTCTGAGAAAGGAAAATATTCATCAAAATGGACCCTGGAGTCAGTGTAAGTTTGGTTTTTTTGGTTGTTTTTTTTTTTTTTTCATGAGTTAAAGTAATGTTTGTGTGGAAGAGGGAAGCAAAACTGGAGCTGTGGTTGGGTTGTTAATACTCACTTAAACCAACTGTGAGGAAGTAATCTTGGGTGCCAGAGACTCACCCCTCCAGGAATTCATTCCTAATCCTAAATGCTGAGGGAAAGAGAAGCCTCATGCTAAAATCTGACCTCTTTTGGTTACTCTGGGAGCTGTTGCAGCTCAGCTACGGGGTCATGCTAGCATGTAATCTTGTAAAAATGACTAAGGATGACACAAGTGGTTATCCAGACTAACTCCAGACTATCCCAGCTAATGCCTCTGAATATCTCAAGTCAAGGAAGAGAGTGCTGTCCATGTATCCCTTGGAAGCCCCTGCCTTACAGAAAAGGGGGCTTGTTGCCTCTGCAGGGGCTAATAAAACCATTTATTCCATATGAACACAGAATGTTAAACCTCCCCTGGATGCATTCTTGATCAGGGGAGAGACAAGACAATTATGCTGGTGTGTGACAGCAAGGACAAATATGTATTATTCTCTATTGTTCCATAAAGGATGGAGGTACCCGCTGTCATGAGAAGTCTAGGATTTGTATAAGTCAGGGAGGGTAAGACTTTTTTCTCCTAACCTCAGGGAAGGCACCAGAGCCATAGAAAACAGCAGGACAGAACTTTTAGTGTTTTCCACAAGCACGATTTCTTGATGATCTTGCAAGGCAGCTTTTGTGAATCCTCTTCAGAAACAGTGTGTGGTCCAGGGGACATGGGTGGACTTGTAAGCTGGGCGAGCCACCTGAAACTTGCTTTCATGAGGACTGCATTTTTAAACCCAGAACACAACCTACAGTACCAACCTTGTCACTTTATCAATAAAGATCTCTATGTTGGTGGGATCTAATTTTGGGTTTTTGTGAGGTGAGGTGGGAAGAGCTTCCAAGCTGTGAAGGAAAACTGCTCTGCCGTACTCTCCTGCACAGGTACAACTTGATGTCATCATGGGCGTCCGACTTCAAGGCTTCCTTTTCCAATGCCAACAAAACCCTCTGGGTCTCTGTCTCCATCCTGGTGCTCCTGGCTGCACTCACGAGCTTCCTCACAGGGCTGTCCCTTCACAGACCAGCAGATGCAGCACCTGTAGGAACTGGGGACTCCTGGACATCACTACAGCAGCTGCTGTGGCCCTACATAAGACTCCGACACAACGGGCCTCCCCCAGTATAACCAAGGTTCTGACTTCTGTAGTTGTACTTCCAAGTACTTTCCAAGAAGCTGAGATAGTTTATTTAAGGTTTCATGTTTGGATTTGTTTTGTTGGGTTGTGGGTATTTTTTGGGAGATTTTTTTTTCTTTCTCTAAAGCATGACTTGAAATGAAAGTGTGTGTGTATATATATATATTTTTCACCCTATTCTGACAAAAGTCATCTTTACAAGTAGCTGAAAGGGTCTCTGTTCAAGCAAAATAAGTTTGTTATTCTCTTGTGGCTAGGACCACTTAGTTGTTTTTATTGTTAGCTACTTTCAAATTGTAAACCTGAACAGAACTAAGAGAAAATTGTTTGCATTTTAGTCATTGGAGCTGTTTCAATGAGTTGAATAGAACAGGGTTCTAGACTTGAAATGTAACTTTATTGAGAACTTTTGATAATAAAGTTTTGAAGGAAAACACACAGTATTTAAGAGTATGTTAAAACCCTGGTAGTAAGGAGCAGCTGATACACAACATCCATAAACAGGCAGCTGGCTCCTTCCACTTTATCCATTGCTGCTTTGCTGGCAAAATCCTTAAGCAGATGGTAGAGTGTGGAGTGAAATTCGGAATCTTCTTCTATCTCTTCTGAAAAAGCTTCACTGGTTTCAGTGATTTTGAGCTTCTGTGCTTTCTGACCATTAAACATGTAAAGAGACCAGTTGTTGTCTTGGACAGAATCTGCTTCAAGATGCTCCCTTACCTATTGCAAGAAAAAATGCACTGTAAGGGAAAGCCACTGACAGAGGATAAATTCTGGTGTGAAGTTCTAAATTCTTGTGACTATAATACAGAAACAACCCCCCTAAACCAATATTAATATTAGCTCTCTGCTTGAGAGCCTGTGTACCAGGTGCTGTATTAACACTGAAATCTTCCATCTAGTTTGCCTCTAAACTCCAAGTTTTGGGCACTCCAACTGCTGTTCCTGACTTCCTAGCCTAGCTAGGTGCAACAGGCATAATTTATTTTAGTTTTTATTCCTGAGACCAAATACTAGGCTAAATATTTGTGTGTCATGTGCATTTAACTTAAAGGGGAAAGCTGCTGAAGGTTTCAACAGTATGGTGTGTTCTCTATCTACAGCCACAACTGGGAGTGTCCGCCTGCCTGGGAGAAGCTTTAACCATGTTTTAGTTTACAGGTGGAAACAAATCAGTGCTTAAGTTGCTTATGCCTCCCTTTGCAGCAGGGAGTAAATGAAATTAAACTAAATCCACAAACCTTGAACACTACGTGCTCTGGACCTGCTGCTCCATTCCACCTGCTCGATGCAAAAGCAAATGCAGACGCAACCAGAGCCAGCTGTTGACAGGCCTTAACTTCTGCCAGGGCAGCCTGGAATGCAAAAATACAAGGTGTTTTGTTTTTTTATCTCCAGGAAAGGGACTGACTGTGTTATACAAATGTAAGGAAAAGCTTGCTTTAACCAACCAGAACCCACTGGCTCAGCTGGCAGCACACATGTATATTCTGGACTGCAGGTCTTCATGCAAGAAAGGGTGAAAAGCAAGTGAAAAATGGGTGGAAAAAACCATTCATTCCTGTACTCACCTTCCTGGTCACAGGGACATAGTTGTGAGAATACTCTCCTGGGAAAATGTTCACACCAGCTCCTTTCAAAGCTGCTCTGAGGGCAAGTGGACTCATCCATTTTCCTGTGATGTGGGAAAGCACATCCTTCTCCTCCACCACTACTGAAGACAACATACACTGATTACCCTGTTGTACAAAGCAGTGAAAACAACTCACTGGGCATGGAAGTCATTCACTGCTTTAGGTATTAAACAGTAATATCTTTGCTGTTCTGGGAATTACATACATTATTTGCTACTCTGGGCTTGGAATTTCTTTTACAGGTCCTGAAGAAAGCCACTTCGTAGGAATTCAGAAAATACACACCTGTACTTTTTTCATGCTTTTTTTCAAATCATGATTTATACATTAATGAACAGATGGACAATCATCTGTAACTTGAACCTTTAGAAGGAACAAGTAGCATTAATAGTAGGCTGTTTGAAGTGCTTTTCTTTCTCTTGATATAGCTGGGAGAAAAAAGGAGTATCAAGTCTAGCTGCTGGAAGTCTTGAATACAGCAAGGCAAAATCCATATCAAAGCAATCATACATATTTTTCCTTCTGACCAGCTCACAGAAAATAACTGAAATTTAAATAACTAGGACAGTGCTTGGAAAGGAAGAGATCCTCCCTCATTTTCACTGGCACAGAGAGAGATTCAAACTGGTCTTGTGTAAACATCTGAAATTCTTAGTGAAGGGCACTATAATAATTATGGTTTGCTTTTTTATTTTTAAACTACCAGTGTTTGATTAAAAAAATTATTTACATTACCTTAATTTGTATCTGAATTGTTGCCAAATGTGTAGTAACTACAAGGAGTGCTTCATCCACCCCAGTAGGTTGCAATTCCCATGCTTTATATGGCATGTTGAGATGAGCATCCTGGAGAAGTGCTACTGTATAAAAGCCACCCATCTCAAAGGTGATGCTCTTTTCTTGTGCTTCATACTTTATGTTGCTGATGCCATCAGTTCTCCACTGTTGGGCTGTACAAAAAGGATGTAAAAATACAAAGATGGGCATGGAAAGCTTCTGCCAGTGATATGTGCTGGGGAAGAACTGGTAAAGATACCCCAGGTTAACTAATATTCTCTCACAGTTAAAATATCAGGCACAAAATGAAGATAATTATTTTAAGGCAAAAACTCCCCTCATTTTAATTGTCTTTAAGTACAAGATTGGGCTAATTTTAACAGGAAAGCTTCTCAATTTCAAAAGAAAAGAAAATATAACACTAATGTAACTGTAATTTCTTACCTGTTAAACAGCTGCCCAAAGGATCATTTTTAAGAGTAACTTTAAACATCTAAATGCTTTAATAGGTTCTACTCTCTTTCATTAATGTAAAGCCAAAGGTACATTGTATTTATCTAATAACTAGAATATCACAGTTGGTTTTTAACATATAAATTTCATATTGTAACAATATTAACACGTAGTTAGGAGCTAGTTTGGCTCAATGTGGACTTTACCTCAGCAAAACTTGATTTGTGGTAGGCAGTTGTACTGCTGCCCATTAAATGCTGTGTATTTTTTTCCATTTATATTAAAAAGCTACAGTAAAAAGCCTCAACAAAGCAATCCATCATTAGATATGGTGCAGAAGCAAAATCGAATAAAAAAACAACTCAAAACAAACCAAATAAATTAACATTGAAGTCCCCAAATCAATTAACACTGAAGTCCCCAAATTATTTCTGGGCTCTGAATTGACAAGAGTAAAACTCAGGTATAAATTTCATTATTCAAACTTAAAGCAAACCTATGCTCTAAGTTCTTACCTTCAGGATCCCATCGGGCTACCACAGGACTGTCAAAATACACCACACTGTCAGGCAGCCTGAGGGTTATTTGTATTATTGATTCTGTGGCATCCTCAGCCTCTTCTGGAGAATATGGATACACCTCCAATCCAACATCAACTAACTTTGGCAAGATGGGAAAAGGACACAGAACATTTTTATTAGAAAATGCAGCAGCCTGGTTGGGGGTTTTTTTGCCTTAAGTCCCTTAAGGCAGTGCCACACAGTAGGTACAGTCCTGTTTTAACAGATCCACAGTCTAAAAAAACCAAGAGCACCTGAGAGACAAAAGCAGGTCTAATTCTGCTCTGTCCACACGGTGTCCAAAGGAAGGAGAGGTCACCTGTGTGTGTGGCTGGGAATGAGGAGCCCAGAGTCTTGATCTACCCCCCAGTCCCGCTTCCTTAGTTTGAGTGGGAATTTTGCTTATTAAAGGTTTTCAGCTTCACGGACAAATCTCTGATGTTAGTAGCACTGCACCAGGCTCCAGCAGTGGGAAACTAGAACACAGTTACTACAATTCCCAACTATCTTGCAGAGCCTGGAAGTGAAAATGCAGTGACTTTGTTACCAGCCTGCTTTCATATATGAAAAACTAAGGACTTCTGTTTGCTTTTACTTTGGCCAAGAGCGTTTTCCAGCACGTGGATCTGTGCTGGCCATGCTGATGAGCCACTGACTGAGCACACAGTGACCACACAGGTGCCCTCAGCTGCTCTGAAAGTTGGCCAAGTGTAACTGGAAAATTATTTGATAAACTTGGTCCTTTAATTTTCTGTTGGAGAAATCGCGGACGTGTAGAGTGGGGACACACCTGAGGAGCAGCTTTCCAGGGATGACAGGGAAGAGGCCTGCAAAGGGTGTAATCCCTTCCCTCACTCACCTCCACCATGGTCCAGTCATTGACTTCCATGACCTGAGGTGGGAGCTGCAGGGCATCGATGTGGAACACACCACCCACTGGCATGAACCGCTGCAAATCAACAAAGTTTGCAGCTGCTGCTGCCTCTTCTTTGTCTCTTGTCTCTTCCTGCACCAGTGGATCTCCTTCTAAAAAAAATAACCAAACCACATGATGCTCAAACTGAGACACTGAACTTTCCCACCTCTGTTTATTTTTCACTTGGAGTGCTTCACACTCTGCAGCGTTTCAGCCCCACCTGCTGGTGTTCCACAGAGCTTTTAATAAATAAATGAAATGTGGGGGGAAAAAAGAGAGCTGGGCAGTGAAAAGCTCTCCTTGTCTTGGAACTGAGCTTTTTAACAGATTACTCTCTGCTCTGAATCTGCAGCCAGTTCAAAATGGTTTACACAGGTATAAGGATTTTACTGACAAAACAAGTCTCATCAATAACCACAGAAGAATTTCCCAGTAGATTCTGGACAAGTTTAGTAAGACTGTATTGATATAAAAATAAATGAGGTAAAAAAAATTCACCTTTACTGTGATTTTTTTGAGTGACCTTAAAACACTCGTTTCACCACAAATACTTAAAAATAATTAAAAATAAAGCCCCAAAAGGTCACGTGCTGAAGGTGAAAGACATGATAATTATGAACAGCAGGAGGGATTTACCATGAAACACAATTTTCAGATAGCAAAGATAATTCATATTATTCTATGCATAATTACCTATATATTACATACATGTTTGAATTGAAGGTTTAATTAATTGGAAAATGTTATTAAAAGGTATCAGTGCCGTGGACAAAGATGGTTCGAAATATTTTCTTTAAAAAAAAACCCAAACAAGCCCACATAAAACATCACATAGGATGCTACAGGAGGAGAGAGAAGTTACTGTTGACAGGGATCAGGAAAAAAAGTGTTCAATACTGTAAAAACAGCTCCTGTAAGTGTTATGAAATTTGCCTTGAGAGAGTGAGTTCATATAAAAAAAATGACAACTACCTATATAAACGGTCTTAAACTTTAAAAAAAAAAACCAAGTGAAAACGGTGTTAATTTTTATGTCAGATTTAGTTGCATTATGAAGAGGTTTTATTCTGCTGTATTCACACATCACCATAATG